GATTGACGTGTGCGAGCGGGAGGGATAGATTTGTGCGAAAAGGTAACAGCGCATGCGCTGTCATCGACTCTCCCCGACTGAATAAAATCTCGACTCAGATTTAAAAAAAAATGCAAAATAATTATTATCGTGGTGGTCACAATAAAATGTAAATACTGATAATTTTCTATAGTCACTCGCTACTTAGTTTGCTCACTAAATCGAATACTAATAAAGAACACGCTTCCATAGAATACCACTCGATGTAGTGAGGAGGATTGATACGATTGATTAGCGGGAAAAGTTTAGTGAAGGTTGTGGATTCGATTCCCGTTTGAATTTTCTTAGACATTAAGTTAATAATGTGTTAAAAATAATGTGATAGGTAGGTAGGTCGAAGCTACTTTTTTTTAAAGATGCTTGTAGTTAACTTGAGTAAAAAATATTTAATTTAATATCTTAAATGGAAATATTAAACACGAGCCCCTATTTAGCAGTGCAAACTGCAATTAAGATGCATCCTGTCGTTTATGAGCTGAACAGCTGACCCAAATACCCTCATCTATTATGCACCAGGCACAATGCAATGGCGGAGCTCGGTGGCTGCTACTATAGCACAGTTATTAACGAATAGTCCTACAGAATTTAAACCGATAAATAAGGTATATCCGTATCTCAAATTCCCAACTACGACGTATAAATATAAAGAATTATCAATATACATCTCTGAGACACTCTGAGTTCACTTTGCAACTTTGCTAATGTGAGGACGTAAACGCAGAGATGTAGGTAGGCAGGCATTAGGGTTGTCCCCAAGCGGGATTCGAACCCGCAGCCGGCAGTGCCAGGAGCTCATAATTTCCACACATGAATATTCTAGCAATACATAAGACTTTTTAGTTTTTTAAACTTAAAAAATCAGAATGTTTAAATTGGGAATTGAACCCTCGACCTATTGCTTGTTGGCCGAGCCGAGCTAGGGTGACATCGAAGCATCGATTTTAAACTATAATAAAATAATTTTGCCGAACAATAGGTATTATCAATATCAATATACTGATTCGATTTTTTTTTCCACAAATACGAGTATCTCTTAATTACTCTACAATTAAGTCTAATAAATCTGAACAATATCATACATTTTCATACTTACTATAGTACATACCTATTGCAGTTTTTGGAGCAGTCAGCCTTGGCTTGGAACAAGCTGGTTTTGTAAGGATGTTTTATGCATTATTTTTATATCAAACGGCCTCTTTTTGATGCAAAAATAAATTAAAATAGGGGATCAAAATTTATAATTTTTCATGTTATTTATGTAGTCCAAAATAGCCATTAATAATGGTTGGTTTATCAACTTGTGAGCATGATTTTTCAGTCAGATACCCTAGTTCTAACTAACTTGACAAAAACATATAACTTTATAATAAGATTATTATATCATGTAATCAATAGAGTTGAAGCAAGCTTGATCATGAATATGTTTACATCAATATTTTTAACAAGAGAGCGTTGGTACCTATTCAATCAATCAATAAAAAACATTCAAAAATTTTGTATTAATCAGGACTGAAAGATTCAAAATAAACTTTAAAATAATGTCTTGTAGTTTTATTAACAAAATCTTTTAAATGATTACATACATGATGTAACAGTCAGTGTTGCTAATTGTGTTTCAAAATTAAAAACTATTTGACTCGCGGCTATTTCAAAATAAACCAAAAAATATACTTAATTAACACCAATGCAACGTCCCATAAACTAAGCAAACAACTATAAACCTATTCTGCCATAGTGACTAAACTCTCAGATTCTGCGCTTTGGTTTGGTTCTTGGTCTCTCTGTTCTTCAACTATCTCTTCCGCCTGAACATGGATGTGCGTTTCTAAATCAGGAGACTGCTCTGGCTCCTGTGCAGTGTACATAAGCACCCGTTTCACAGCGTCAGCATTGTCATACGTCCCATACTCGGCTTGCCACAGTATCGTTGTAATCAACTGCTGCAAATTCCCACGTGTACGTGGACCCTTGAACTTGCGGAGCTTGTTGGCAACGTATTCCCCGAACACAGCATACTCGTCCCTAAAACTAGTAGACTGATCAAGAATTAACGGTGTCTTGATTGTGTGAGGTACATAAGTGGAAGATCTGCGTTGTGGTGGCGGTGTAATTACTTCACGTTTGATTTTCCTGTACACTCTCTTGCGCTTTGGCTCAAATGTAGTGTCTACAGCAGCATAGTGGTCTTCTTCGAGCCATTCTTCATCTGATCCCCGGTTGTCATGAAGCTGTCGGACCAAGTTGTAAGTGGCTTCATTTTCTTCGTTCTCATTTGCCTCATTTTCTAAGTCCGTGTTCTCGAGAACATCAACCTAAAATGAAAATAATACTGTTATTATTTACATGTAATCTAAGTCAACCCCTCAACACTTGATTTTTAATGAAAGCATTTAGATTTTTTACATGTAATGATGTCGATATAACCTATATTTGACAAGCCAGACATTTTTAAACAGTAAATTAAGTTAAAATTGATGTTTTCAACACAAAAAACGCAGTGAATCGATATCTGTTATCAGCATCCCACAAAAAGATAACCTAAACATAATGTAATAAATACCCTTTGTATTTCGATTTTCGGGATTCGCCCGGCTCCCGTATTTCTTGCATTATCAACTGATATTGAATAACGTACGTTTTTGTCTTTGTAGCCCTTATACTTTCTTCGTTTTGGCGATAGGGTAGACTGATTGGACTCGTCATCTTCCACACGGAAACTCGATTCATCGAAGGTACCGCTCTGTGATAATTCCCATTGCAGTGGGTGCTTGTTGATTAAATGAGCTCTCAGGTTAGTCGTATTCCCGAAAAACTTGTATTGAGTATCACACAATTTACACAACACAGCAAAACATCTCTTGTTTTCATTTTCAACCCGATCGAAGAATCGCCACACAACCGATGAACATTTCTTCATGGTGATCTTTTATCGATGCCGATTGATAGTCAATTTGCCGCCCAAATTCTGATGGTAAAACGATTATGAACGCGTATCGAATCAAAAGTTGATCACGAGTATTATTTTGTTCGACAAGATGGCGACTCGAATGATGCATCGAGCGAGCGAGCGTCGAGCGGGCTTCAAGAAACACCACACTCGGCGCACCCGAGTGACCTTCATACGATGATAGACAAATTTAAGTTTTAATGGCGACAATACATTTTAGCTCCTATGTAATGGTAATAAGAACTACTTTAGGTGTTTAATTATTGTACGAGTTTAAAAACGTGAGGATGAGATATAGCTATCTCTGTTGCACAAGGCGGCTCAGTATATTTGACTCTCTCTTTCTGACAGTATGCGATTGGCAAGCGTAACGTCATTTCACAGTGCTGCCAACGTGAAAAAAGAACGATCGATTAATGAGTACGTTCCACTACACTACAACCGATTATTGTTACAAAAAAAAAATATTATGTTATTAAATATAAAATATATAAAAATAAAAATACAACGATACTTAGATCTTGTAAATTCCAGCAAATGCATGGATACCCATTTACTTCCAAAATGTAGCTTAAAAGTATATTATGTAGATGGCAAGAAGCATTTAGTTTTTTTTACCCGCGGGATTCGAACCCGCAATCATTCATTGGGGGAGTTTGGTGGAAAAAAGCGCTTGTTTTCGGCGAGGACACGTTTGCTATCATATTTTGCTAACTTCTAATCGGCAGTGACAGCGCTAGCGCTTAGCAATCGCCATTTTGCTTCCAAGCACTTTTTTCCGCCAAACGTTTCCATTGTTTAAGCTATTATGACGTGTACTTAGTTACTTTTTGCCTGTATTATTTAAGAGTTATATTACAGTAGTTTAATGTTAAATAAAACACCATGTAGCATTTATATATTCATTTTTATTTATTTGTCGGTATAAGTGGCTGTAAAAAGTTATTGTCTAAAAGTTTCAATCAATCTTTTGGTAAACTACGTAAGGTAGGTAAAAAGTTGATTAAAAATCTACTTTAGAAACGTCTAAAGATTATTAGAAAACTTTTACAAAAATTTCGTACATCGTAAATGCACTCCAAGTGACTACGAACGTCTCAAATGTTACAACAATATTAATGAAAATAATTGTAAATGTATGTATCAACATTAATTTATTAATACTGTTTGACTCCTCTTGTCCTTCTTAAACATATTTTTGGGTGAATCTGAGACAGGCCATTCAAATAATTTTTAAGGTTACGGACTACGGTTGCAATTTTGATTTTGAACTTTAAAATGACATCAAGAAGACATTAGGTCAAAAATCTGGCAAAATTGGTATTGCAGATATTATGCCGTTAATGTTAGTCGCAAGTTTTTTGTAGCAAATCGGTGTTTTTAGCCTGTTCTCCTTCCCCATTGAAATTGGAAAATGTACGTAAAAAGAAGTAGGTAGCTAAGTAAATGTCTATGGAATCGGTAGGTAGACCCGGGTGGGGTGTATGGCACATGTGCATTATCATAGCGTTCATATTTTATTACATTCGTTGCTGCCACTGACTTCAGGCTTGGACTTCATTTGATTTAAAACTTTTCCCGCGCAAAAAATGCTGAGTCAATCAAATAGTCTTTTGCTCAATGTCTATGGCCAGTTGGTACGGTAGTAAGCAAACTCACAAAAATCTCACTTTTAACTAAATGTGTTTACAATGTTGGTAGTATTTTTATACAAAACGATATACGTATCCAAAAAATATAAACTTTTGAGGGGATATCTTGTGGATTTACTATTGAATTTGCGAACACAGCACCGAAGCACACATAAACATGTCTTCAAACGCAATTACTTGCTGCCGGTGGAAAAACATTACTACTCGACGCCGATATTTTCTACAATCTCTATTCGATTAAAAACTACAAAACTAGATACTGTATCGGAGAACTCTTTTCACAATACCCAAATACTGCTTCTAAGCTAACATAATGATCAATTGGTATAATTTACAATATAATAACGAGTCACATTGTTTTTAATAATTTATTGTTCACGAAAACGACGAGAAGTAACTACACTCTTCATTACTGTTGTTATAGGAGTTTACAAGATGGTTAAATGCTTAGCCGAGTATAAACTTCGGGCCGTTTTCGACTGACGACTAAACGTTGCATACATACATAAATAAATTCAAATTAACATCCATCTTACATACGTAGGTACATTCATAAAGCTTGCTGAATTTCTTCATTAAACATGACAAGACATCATCAGCGAACTATTTACAATAGTCTTAAATTATGACAAAGTTCTGGATATAAATAAATATGTTATGTACATTACATATCAATAAAACTATGAAGATTGTTAGTTTATTGCAAAGTTTATGACATGTGAAATAAATGCCGAGAACATTATTCGTATACATTAGTGAAAAAATAAATAAGTATAACAATTTTCGCTGAAAGCGTCCCGTTGGCTCCGAATACAAAATCTACGCTTAAATTGAGGGGATCTGGCTAAAGAATGTAGTCGCAAAAATCCATTCAATCACAATATTGCAAATGCATCCATACTTTACAAATTGCATATATATACGCACATACTGTTACCGAGCGGACTTAACACTATAATACAAATACAATTGGCTCACTAAAAGTACAAGCGTATGAAATCCTACATATCTACAATCAGTTGGAACTAAAGGGGGAAAGAGAATAAAAAAACATCAACTAAAACGTTAACAAAATACACTTTCTCTATGGAAAATAAATAAATTTACAAATTAGATACACGTTTTAGAACTACTTACTAATAGTCACTTCTCCGTCGTTAATGTTATCACTACTTCGATTGGGCTCGGCGAGGTGAGTGGTTTTGAGCTCAAAAATTATAATAAAGCAGTATTTCGAGTTCCAACTATTCGCATAGCAAAATATTACGTATCTAGATCTACCAATCCTGCAACGGATCTTTCAGAACACCTTTGTCATTACATTGATAGTTCGGAGTAAGTATAATAAGTACAAAACTACTCGCCTCCACAAGACCGTTAAACTTAAAATAGAGTTCAGAAGCTTGCCGTTACGCCGCACTTCACTTTATCCTATCATAGCCTAGACCGAAACCAACATAAACTACATTACTCAGTCCAATTTTCAGTCATTGTCTTAAGAAATTACACCCCACACACCCAACTAAGTACAAATGCGTTTCGGGGTCTTTGCCAGTGTCAATACCACCATTACAATGCAAACGATTATGTCGTCAATAAAAATCACGCTAATTTACCTCATTAATATGCCTGTATCGTAGGAATTAAAGATAATTTCTTAATTTGAATATTTTTCTGAGAGGGCACTTTGTATTCGTTGAATATTACCATCGTTTAAGATTTTCTGGTGGCAGCAAATGGATATTTTTTCGGTAACGGAACCGACCGTTTCCCTATCAGATCCATTAACGAATCACTTAGAGTTAATTAAATAGAAACCTCTGAGGGAAACAAATGGAAGCCGATACGTTTTATTTAGGGAGTCATTGATATTTTGATCCATTGAGCCATTAATATTTGTGGCTGTTTCATGTTTGTGTAAATAGATAATATTTGCATTGTCACTGGCAAAGACCTTTGCCACTTCCTAACACAGTTCCACCTTACAATAACGATAATCTCAACTCAATACAATATTTTAAATTACCAAATTACAAGTATCATCTACATTAATAATTTCATGATAAGTAACAGTAACTAAGACAATTGGAATCTTGCCGATAAATCTACGTTTAAAGCGAACTAGGAATATAAATTGAGATAGATAATTTCAGTAGCTTTGGTAGAATAATATCATTCGTTTTTATTGTTATGTGTTGCCTTTTGGGCTGACGTATAATAATGACTCTTTTATTGAGTATTAAACGAGTACATGACTACAAATAAAGGAAAGGTATGAAGTAAGCGACCGCTGTCGTGGAATCGAGGGGTGATTGCAATCTAGTGCTCTTGAGAGCCGCGAGCCAGCGCGCCTAAGAGAGCATTGGGGACGCAAGAAAGCGTCGTTATAGATGCGTTGCACTGATAAGGAATGGTAAAGAGATTCATAGCGTAAGTGTGGAACGGTGCTAGTGAGCGAGCGCAACGGCAGCCCCGACCGCGACCAGGGAGCGGCTCAGGCGCGTCCGACCGCCTCCTGCGCGGTCGCCGACCGAAAAAACTCGACATCCGTAGTCGTAGACATCGTCGACATCGTCGACTCGTCCCAGCTGACCTCGGTCGTCGTCGTCGTGCCGTTCCCGTGTCTTCTCCGCGCTTTTGGATGCCTCTTTTTCTTCGGATTGTTAGCCTTCTTGTGCTTCCTTTTTTGCCTCAGATTCTGTCTGTGTACTGTCTGCATGCAGACTCTAGGCGTGTGTTTTTTGGGAGGCTTTTTCAGTTTGCCGTGGTGTCGACGCGTTGCACATTGCGTGTATTTCACGCCGTGGCCTTCCCACCTCCTGGTGAGAGTCAAAGCGTACCAGGAGAGGTTGCCCAGCTGCCTGCTCACAGGAATCTGCGTTCGCCTCGCCTTCCCTCTATTGTCTAATGCTAAATACGTTTTCTTCCCGCCTCGGACTCGCGAGTATGTGTTGTAGTTGTTCTCTTCTATGTGTTCCTCGAAGACGCAATCGTCCGAGAGATACTTCTGAAACAATAGACAAGGTTTTAATTAGTTTACAATATGACGCACGTCTATATGTTGATAACACAAAACGACTTATTAGTCAAGGGTACAGAATAACCATTTAATGTACAATATTAAGCCTGATATTATTTTCCATCGAATGCGAGTATTTGAGAATAATATAGTCTCATCATAATAAACACTTATCATACAGCACATTAAAGGTACAGACACGACAATTGGCAAATTCAAATTGGAAGTTCCCTTTTAGAGCACAAAATTGCCCCCAAGACAGGCCCGTTATGCACCTAACAACCAGGTGAGCTCACTGCACAAACAGATTGGCTATTTTATTCATAAATATGTATAAGAGCACCGCCGTAAGGTACACTAATGCCTCCTAAATTGTCCCAAGAGTCGGACATTAGCAATTCGAAGACATTAAATTCAATCCGAGATAGTTTGCTGCTTACTGGGTGGTGGGTGAGAAATATTGCCCTTCTGATTTATGGCAGTGGCAATTTGAACCATCGGAACTTCTTTAGGCTAACCAGCTGTGAGATACTGCTCATGAATATCCCTCTATTAGGATTATAAGACACGTTTAATATGTTATGTCCAGTGCATGTCCAGAGATATAACTTTATTAATCCTGGAATCATCTCGAAGCGAATTGCAAAGCGAAAGTGGTGTAAATCAACTCAAGAACGTAGTTTGAGCCACAGATTTATGTTCGGAACAGTTACAGCAAACACTTTATTTAAATTTTGCCATAAACATTTCTGCAGTAGATTAGAATTCCTTGTTCCCGTAAACTGAAAATACGGAGTTGGATTTGTAGCGCCCCCGCGGAGTTGCCGTTGAGTCTCTTAAATTTCATTAAGCGCGACATTAAGTGTAACGACGCGTTTAAATGAACTTCTGCCGTCAGTAACCCCTTCTAAAAGTAGGAAATAGTCGCGTTACTAATTATATGAAGCTTCTAACGTGCCTGCTTACTGTTGGGAGTCCCACCCATGGCGCGGACCCGCTGGGCGCATCGACTTAGTCCGAATAAATAAGTAAACTCATTTTACATACACTTTGATCATTTCAAGTAGATAGCTTTCATTATGTTATGCATCTTCATTCAGTACAGCACACAATTAACTATGTCTATTGCATGAAATACAGGGTGTTAGGTAAATGGCCGACACTAGCCCATGTTAACATAGGCATATAAATGGTATGGTGAAGTCAGAAATTTGATATCATGACTTTATTTTTTTTAATTTTCATACAATTTTTTTTTTATAAAATCCGATTTGTATGAAAATTAAAATAATTAAAATGAAGATATCAATTTTCTGACTTCACCATACCATTTATATGACCATGTTAACATGGCCTAGTGTCGGCTCATATACCCATTTACCTAACACCCTGTATAATAAATTGGAAAAATAATTATCTTGCAAGATAATTTGTCGATAACAGTAATTATTTTTTCATTAAGTGTGCCGCAGAGCATGGAGTCGCCATTCCATGCTTTGTGAAGTGTGCCAATGCCAATCTATTTTTGATTTTGCTATCATCTTAATATTATCGTGTTGATATGAAGGATTGCATTTTTATGCTATACTCTTAGATTAATCAACAGAGGTTGTCCTTGGTTATCTGTTCTCTTTCGGATATGCTATTAGCGAGTTGCAATTTCATAATCATCCAACAGTGGCCGCTTACAAGCCCGGGGCTTTCAGTGTGAAATTAATTTTATACTCCACGGAGTCCTTATAACTGTTCCCGGTGTTAATCGCGGGAGACAGCTTGATTGCGCGGAGAATGCAACGTCAAGGATTCATAGCAACTACAAAATGGCTGATGTTTAATTTCACCATTGTGTCGCTTGGCAGACCACAGGAGGCGTCGTAATGGCCTTTCCCGTAAATTGTTACAGGAAAACTGTACAATGACATCTAAAGGTATTCCAACAAAGGGTATTACGACGACGCATTTTGCTGTATAACCAACCAATTTGTCGCTGGAAAAATATGGCTAGAACAGTGAACAACATTTTAATGATTTTTTTAATTGAAAATCTGCTATACATTCTCTGCCATCAGATGTAGATATTTTATATCTATGTTTTATCTTAAAAATATTAACATTGGTAAAGTACCTCTTCGCTGCACTCTTTGGTGAGGTTACTTCAACTTAAATATCTTATGAGAGAAATGGTCAACCTCTAGGACTAAATACGATCCTTAATCCTTTAAATGCTCCTTTTATCCTGTACAAATCGACTGTTATTAATAGCTCAATTAAACTGGAATAATAATGAAGTTGCAACTGCGATCCGAATGTCGGAGTAATCTTATCGAGAACTATTAGGCCCACTTCGACGACACAGGACGCGATCGCCTGTGGGCGACGGCGTGAATTGGGCGATAAGTGATAGGGATCAGCGCGTTCGAGTACGCTTCGAGATGTCGATAGACGGTACCAGATTTTTTTGTGATGTTGGCAGTATTTTTGATATTTTTTTTAATTATTGTTCTTCCTTTACATTAATTAACATAATTTTGAAAAATAATTAATAGGTTTGAAACAAAATATTTTTTTGGGTTATTGTGCTAAAACAAATACACGCGGTAACAGTATGCGGCGAAATGTTTCATCCTACCTAATTAAATTTGAAATACAGAAACTCTTTTTTTATGCTAGACAAGGCATTTGACCGCAATCGCACCTGGTGATAAGTGAGATGCAGTCTAGGATGGTACATAATTCTGCCCTGTAAGTGCCTATTCACTCTCGCCTTGAAAACGCCCGGATTATAGTGTTCAGGAAATACAGCAGCAGGCAGCGAATTCCAGTCCCTCATCCTTATGTTAGTTTATACTTCAACATCCGTTTAGTAAATACCTACTAAATATTCAATTACTATTCCAATGAATTATTACTAAACGATAATACCTACAACTTACACAATACTTATGTTGTTCCCATTCGTACCGCAGGGTATGTAAATTAGACAACCAATTAAAATCTCTCAACGGTTTTCAAGTGCGATGCAGATACAGATTTTATTATTTTGTCTTTGGCTTTCCAGAGTAGGAGGAAGCAATAGAAAATATTTTGGTGAAGTGGACACCTAAGTAGCTTTTTTCTTTTTCTCATGGACAATGGTATTTAAAGATGGTATAGGCCTAATGCTAGATGCTACTTTGCAACAAAATAATATATCGTTAGTTTGCACAAATACAACCTCCACTATCATCATTAATTACCAATAACATGGTCTTCTATTGTATTACGACGCAATCCAGAGGGCGCCACTATTATTAAACAATCATTGTACTCATCAGAATCACCAATGATAGCAAATAAAATAATGGTTAGATATAAATTAATATTAGGTATATCCACGTAAGTAAGTAATAAATAAACTACAAACTCGTGTACACATTCCAAATATGTACGATCAATCGACTTTTAGATAACATTCGCAAATCGCAATCGATTTCAACTCGATAAATCTCAGCACGGGTCAAAAGTTTCAGATGTTATCGATAGATAACCGTGCGCGATATCTTTATCGATATCGATAAAGATGCGCCACTACGGGTTATCGGCTGCATCTTTATGGGCTAAAAATAAATTGATAGAGAGATCCTTTGACGACTATAAAGGATTCGATATGATGGAATTAAATTTTAGTATCTACTGACCAATGCCGGGACATGGGCTGTGACAATAACACCTTCACCGTCCACCGTATTTTTATTATTACATGCCAAATAGAGACAATAGGATCTACATAACATACCTACTTAGGCTGCGTTGTTGCACTGTCTTACTTTAACTTTGACAAACGTCAAAAATCTGTCATACTCCATACAACAACCACCGGTTATCGTTAAAGTTACGGTCAAAATAAGGTGGTGCAACTCACCCTTAGTATAAGAGGCAAAACGACAGGCTCTATTTGCGCAAGTCAATCATAAGTTTCAAAATCTTGCCATTTTCGGTTCAAAAAAAGTTGGAAGTTCAAGATTGTGTGTGTCAAGCTTTAGATCCTGACTATACAGGATTTTAGATATTATAGTAAAGTTATTTCGGGAATGGAGATGTAAATAAACGAGCCGACAAGTGCTTAATAACCACAGGCCTAAATACCGATTTTGCAAAAAAAGTCCATCTTTCAAAAACCGCGCTATAAAAAGTAAAAGAGTAGCAAAGGAATCGGGACTTATTCTGCGCTATCAAAATAAGACGTTATGCTAAATTAGAAAGCGCGCACCTAATTTACGCGTTCAGTGTAATTTATACGACAATAAACATGTCAATTACAGAGTCTAGCCGGACAGATTTACACACAGCAGCTGAAAAATATACGCTTTAGTCTTAGCCTGTGTAAGTGCATGTCTTGGATAATAGAAATTGATAAACGACGAAGGCACGCCATATTGTTTCATCATTACACACTTTATTTGAACTTTGTCATAATGTAGTAGTTTGGATGGTTAATGGCTATGCTACTCATAATACACGGAAGGATTATTATAGGAAGTTATGAAGTACCAATAAGGTAGGGGGAGTCCGGGAGAGTTTACCCGCCTTCCACTAAAATGCTCATAAATATTTATTATATAGTTACAAATCGCTATTTTTTATTAATTGTATCTTAAGCTACATTATTTAGCTATATTTTCTTCTAAGAAACTTTAATACATCATTATTAGTTTAAGAGTAATTGACAATTTTAACCAAAGTGATATTTGGCTAATATCTCCCGCCTGGGTGGGAGACTTGACCCCCCAAGTATCCCTTTAGCCGGGTTTAAAAATAAGCAAAATAATCACTACAAATTATAATTCTATAAAGAAATTAAATCTTCTTGAATGAAAATGTGTAACAATTTAATTCTTTGAGGTTTTCAAAAAAATCTGCATCGTTTTTTCTATTAAAACTGGTTGATCTGGATAAACTGGTTTCTACTGGGGCAACACCTCTAATAATTTTCCTTTATCAATGTTACA